AAAAGTAAACTAAAAACAAAAATGGCATTTAACAAAGGATTTTACCCAACCAGTTTAGATGTCATTTTGTATAGGTAATTAGTGGCCTAAAGAAAGAGTTAAGTTTCCATATAGATTTGAAGTAGCATCTTTTTCCTTTTTAAGAGCTAAATAACTGAAGGAAGTTAATAAAACAGATCATAACTGAAGGAAGTTAATAAAACTTTGTAGGAGACAGGAAAGACAAAAGGAAACATTAACAGATTAGGTTAAGAATAAATAAAATCTAAATAGTACTGAAAATAATTCCATTAGCTGGTTTTATTATAGTTAGTAATACCCTCTGTTGAAATTAATTGAATTTACACCTTAGTGGTTCTCAACTGCATAGTGCCTTTACTCTTTGGCTGTTTTGTTGTTCTCCTCCTTGTCACAGGGTCAGGGGGCCAGCTTGAACCTGGAAAAGTCTTAGAGAACACATTTTGAGATAATAGGCTTGAGTCTGAAGTGGGAAGGCCAATCCCATCTTCAGAGTCAGCGTCTCAGTGAGCTCAAACAGCACAAGACAATTTACCAATATAATTATTACCCTGACATTTTAACTAGAAAGCACACAGGGAATGATGGGGCAGGAACATAAGCAAACATAGAGCATCTGAGTATCAGAGAGGGAAATAACTCTATTTCAGAGAAAAATAGGCTTAAAATCACAATGTAGAAAGGGGAGGAGTTAAGACCAGTAGAGATGGCATCTCAAGCCTCTCATTTGACTAAACTATTACTTTAGACCTCTCATTCTTGTAACTATGTGTTGGTAGTAGCTTGTCTCTTGTAAGATTTTGGCCCTGGAGTATAGCAAATTTTCATCTGCTTCACAGGTGTTGTCATCAAAAAGTGTCAGCTCCCTTTGCACCTTGAAGGCAAATGGCTAGAAAAACTTTAAGTTCCCTTTAGAAACTAGCAAATATACTTTGTAAAACAGGAGGAATTTAAAATAGTCATTTTTAGAAATTAGCAAATACCATATAAAGGATGTTAAAATCCAAATAATTCCTTTAAAATTACCAGATAAAGATGTCATTCAAACCATGTCAAAACCTAAAATTAATTTCTTTTAAAATATCCATAATTATTCTAAACAATGTAAAAACTTAAAACAATCATCTTTAAAAAAACAGTAAATATACCTTAGAAGAAGTTAATACTCAAAGTAATCCCCTTTAGAAACAGGCCCTAAATGATGTTAAAATTTAAACTCCCATTGTGTAGATTTGGCATTATTACCTTTTTTTGAACTAGAAGTGCATTGTTTATTGTATGACATCATCAAGAAACGAAAACAAAAATAAACTGTAAGAGACTCCTAGGCACCCCTGGTACCAGTAGATTAGGCTTGATGTTAAAGAAGAACGTACCCTCAGAGATATATGTGTATGTGACCCAAATAGAAAAGCAAATTAAAGAAATCCATGTTTCTCACCAACCATTGTAGCTGTGAATGTAAAGCCAAGTTCTCAGGAGCTCTTAGTTTGTAGACACAAAGCTCTGCTGTTCCAGGAAGCCAAGGTGACTGCAGGTTTAAGCTAATGCCTGGAACAGGGCTTTGTAAAACCTGACAGTAAGAAACCTCAATTCCTGTTACCTTTGTGTCATCATCCTTAAGGGAGGTTGAGATAGCTTAAGTAGCATGACTTTTGACAGACATGAGTGATTAAAATGCATACATGCAGAGTGAAGCAAGAGACAAAGAGGATAATGCAAAATGAAGACCCATGTCAGGCTTCCATCCTGCTTGGAGTTAACCTGTGAGTAAAAGTGAGATGTCAGTGCTTTTTAGTCAAAGCAGTTTTTAAGTACCTGTTACACATAATACTTAAAAGTTCATTCTATAACCATATGTATTCAAAGTAAGTCAACCACCAACTGGGAAGTACATATGTGTGCGCATGCATATCATGTGCACATATGTGTTTCTGATTAAGGTATAACCCTATATATTTCAAGTTGCAAACAATCCTTTCATGGACATTTATGGCAGTTTATAAACATCTTCTCGGAAATGTAAGACAAATTTGAATAATCCAGACACCTTTTATTTAAATATGTGGATACAGTTCTAAAACAGGATTCACGGAAAGAACTCATTGGACTGCGTGGCTCCACTGAGATGCCAGGATGCTTTGCACACATGGGAGATCATATTGTTCATGAAACATTTGTCTGAGAGAGTTGACCAGTTCTTCAGATATGCTTATATCTCAGTCTTGTGAAATTAATGTAATGACTAAATTAGAAAATGGTAATTGAAAATTAACCAAAGTAACATGTACACACACACACACACACACACACACATACACATTAATGCCAAACTGTTATTTTTGTTTACTTCAATCATTTCATAATTGGAGATAACATACTGCTTGAACATTACAATGATCCACATTTGTTTCCCTAATTAGTATTTTTTCATATCTTATCCTGTATATTCAGGGGTAATTGTGTCCACACTTTCATGGTTATCACAGAAGCCTACAGGTCACTATTCTTCACAGGTAGCACAACAAAGGTTTCCTCTAGGTTTCCCCTTTAGATGTTACGCAGTGTACCCACTGTACTTGAAGACTGCTGATGGAAGTGTAAATAACAGGTGTGATTTAGTAACCAGTATCTCATATGTGTCCAAGTTTCTGTGCTATCTCTGACTTCGTGGCTTCACTTTGAGAACATAAGCTTTAGAAAGAGACTACAAACTTTTTTTTTTCAAAGAATGTTTTTCTGCTTTGTGTAGATTCTTAATGAATGCCACTTGAGGGTAATATTGATATTAACATTTGAGTCCTCAACTTACCATATCTCATCTTCTAAGAAGACTGTGTCAGTGAAGGTTTATTCCAAACCTGGTCCCTGCCTAGCTGGCCATCACAGTCACTTGCTGTTTCCAAGGAACTGTTTTTAGAACTTTTAAGTCAAGAAGTATATTTCCTATTAGTGGTACATGTGGTGAGACTCCTTGCCATTCAATTTAATTATGTGTCTATGTAATAGAAAAACTTACGGCTCTGTTGTGTCAAAATGTTTTCATTTCAGCCTCTCCTTCTATGTGTTTCTGAACCTGCCTCTCCCACCTTCCTTAGGCCATTTAAGTGTCTGCTCTTCACTGTATGCAAGGCAGTCTGTGTGACCCCCAGGTAGACTTTAGATGTAAATGAACCTTGGCTTTATACCTGTTTGCTTGTTGGTATGCTCTCCAGAAAGGCCTGGATTGGAGATTTGGATCATGACAATACATTCAATTCGTGTGAAGCAGTGGAATGCAGAAGTACAATGGAAGATGCTTATTTTATGTTATCTTTTTATTTTTCTCAGTGTGTGCTGTATTTGTGGGCCTTGAAAATTCTTTACCCCAAAACACTGTTTTTACTTCGTGGAAATCATGAATGTAGACATCTAACAGAGTATTTCACATTTAAACAAGAATGTAAGTATTCTTAGAACTTTTTTTCTTTAATGCCATATATACTAAATCATCATTTAAATTGATAAATAAGAGCATATTGCATTATGATCCATTGCCTAGAAGTCAGAAGCTTAAAGTGATATTGTTTCATATCATTATTCATTTCTTTTTAAGTATGGGCAGTTTTAAGAATACAGAATTTATTTTTAAATCACAAGTTTTCTATAAAGTAGCCAATCTGAGCTAATATTTTATTTAGGTCAGAGGACAAATCTGCTTTCTGGTACAGCAATTCTACCCCTTAAATCTTCTCTGCTCAAGAAAACAAAAAATTGAATATCTGTTTGGGAGCCTCATAGCTACCACCTTCTAGTACATTCTACCAAAATGGAAGTTGAGGTCTTCTTTTCAACATAGGTACTTGGATTGGGGAATACTTCATATCAATTTTATTTTCCTCCTCACAGTGGTCCCATTATCCGCTGAAACTTAGCTCTGCCCCTCTGTCATTTGGTCTTACATTCCGTTTAGCATGAAGACTTCTCTCAAAGTGTTACATGTAAGTGGAGGGCAAGCAGCACTGCTCAGTTAGACAAAAATGGCTTCAGAATGCTTCTTGCCAGCTGCCTTTCTACAGACTCAGGACTGAAAAGCAGCATTGTGGCCATCTTTCTGTCATCTTCCAATTACTCATGTGGAGATTTAGATATAGATGATAGATAGATAGATAGATAGATAGATAAAAACATACATACACACATGCAAGATAATATGAAAAGATTCTTATTTACTAGACAGAAATTACAAGAATTATAGAATATGGGTGCGTGAAAGAAATAGAAAACAGTATATATACAGAGTCCTTTTGTTTTGGAGATTAACCCTTTGCACGTTTATGCTCACAATATCCTGGTAAGAAAACATTAAAAAGGTAAAGAAAATGGTTTTAGTGAAATAACCCTAGTTAGGAATTGATGATATTAAATATTTGCTTCTCATCACATTTGAAAGGTAAAATAAAGTATTCAGAACGTGTATATGACGCCTGTATGGACGCCTTCGACTGCCTTCCCCTGGCGGCGCTGATGAACCAACAGTTCCTGTGTGTACATGGTGGTTTGTCTCCAGAGATTAACACTCTAGATGACATCAGAAAAGTAAGTTCTGTTATTGTCCAAGTCTGCGCATTCTTTGTCCCTCAGCAATAACTAGAAGACACTAATTTCCCTGCTTTTATCACTAATTGCATCCTTTTAAATTAAAATCATTTAGCATACTCATGCAGATGCCATTTTGTATTAGATTTTTATCACAGAAAGGAAGATACATCTCTATGCCTTGGGATCTGTCTGAGCATATGGCTTGTATCATTAAAAATATGAAATGTTCGATTGCTAAAACACATTGGCTTGTTTTCCTTTTTCTTCTTTCAAATAGTTTATCCTATATTCATGACAAACTATGCTAGAAATATGTTCCTGGGCCCTTGGGGAAAATACCACAACTTGACCTCCAAAATGTGTCCATATTATGCTTTTTAAAAATTTGTTACAACTTTAAATGTTTACGTGAATGTTTAATTAACAGTCTAGCAGAGGCAAAGATAGTACTGTTGATTGTATTGATGAATACCTAGATTAAAAACAATGAACCTTTTTAAGAAGCATTTTTTTAGTTGGTGTTGGCTGTTGTGTTGTTTTAACCAGCCAAAACATAACTTAGATGGAATGTGGCAGTGGTATATAGAAGAAATTAACTAAATATTTAAAAACAATTGTAGGTACCTCTTTACTTTTAGAGACATAAGAAAATACGTTGTACTTACTCAAAGGAAAGAAGTATGGAATAATTCTAATAATTCTAATTCCTTTTTACAATTCTTGCCAATAATTTTAGAAAGAGTAAGTTGATTAAATTCTACATGCAAGCAATACACTCATACACATAAAATAAAAATAAAATAATATTTAAAAAATTATTCTAAATTGCTATGTTTGAACTATTAAAGTTGAGATTTGGGTGAGTTTTGCTGGAAAGATACATGCTTCTACTATTTGTTTAAGCCTGAAGTATTACAAACTCTAGCTGCAGACCCTACAGTGATCTCAATGAGAAAAGAACTTCAGTAAGTGCAGAATATTTGGCTCAAGCATTAACTTACTTAAGATTCTGCAAGGACATAACTCAAATTCTTCTTAGGGGCATTCATATAAGAAACCCCATGATATCACTTGCTTGGTGATTGCTTTTTTCCCCTTTTGCTTTGAGCTTGAAAATTTTCCAGTGCTAAATGTCAGAAATCTGTATTTTGAAGAGCATTTACAAATTTATTGTATCTCTTGTCTTTAATTAATATTAAATTAGTAAGTAATATTTTCTAGTCTGTTTAGTGAAGGAAATCAAATAATCATGCATCCTTGTCACATCCTAGTAACCTGAAAGCTAATCCCACCAATAGTGATGGAAAATAGAATAGGTCGCAGTACAAACAATAGTTGCTCTGTTAGCAAACGCTGGGTACCACAAATATATGTTTTAGTTGCTTACATTGATCAAGTTTCATGGGCTTAGATGGAAGATATAAAGTGTGTCAAGCATCTGCCTAACAGGGGAACTGATGAAAATTCATTCAAGATCGTCTCTTTTGTTGTTGTTCAGAAACGTAAAATTTCCTGGAGAAGAACAGGGATCAGAAGGGGTATGGCTGTTGGTTATTTTGTTGAAGTTGCAATCATTAGCAGAAAAATCAATACACCTGACTTCAAATGAGTAATAATATTGATGACTTATTTATTGTTTCTTTACTAGTTTTCTTCATGAACTCACAACATTCAGGAAGTAGCATTAAATCATGAATATATTTATGCATCATGTTTCTATTGCCATGAATTTAATTTTAAGTTTATTGGCATTTAGAGAAAAACTATATCTCAGAAAGCCAAATATTCAAGCTCTTCTTTAAGATCTCTGCCCTTAAAATTTAATTGACCAGATGTAAAAATAATATTCGCTTTCCTATTGGAAAACAATTGCCTGGTTTTAGTGAAAATTCAAACAAGGCACTGGTTAACAAGGTCAGTGGTTAAGAGTGCTTGGTGCTCTACAGAGAGCCGGAGTTTCAGCACCCATGTCGGGGCGCCCACAAACACCCATAACTCCAGCTCCAGGGCACCCATGAACACCCAGTGACCTGGCACCCTTTTCTGACCTCCATGGCTACCTGTACTCACATGCACATACTCAAACACAGACACACACATATACACAATTAAACTTTTAAAATAAATATTCAAAAATCAAACAAATGTACAATTAGTAAACTTTAATTTCCTCATTGTGTTTGTCCTTTTCTGTGAGACACCGTAGCTGTTTTCTTCTGATGTTGCTTAACATGGAGAACAATGGTGTTTGCTCGGTGTTTAACATACAACAGACGGATAATGCTGAAACAGTCAGAGTGCTGGAGGTCAGGTGTTGAGTTCCTTTCGGTAGGAATCTCAGTTCATTCCTCTACAACCTCATGGGCTCTTTTGAAGTCATAACTAAACACCTCATGATAAATTGGGTAGAGTTTTTAAATATCTGATGTCCACAGGATTTATTGCCTAGCATGTTTCAGATATTGTGTTCAGTTTTGCACATGCCAAAAATCAATTTTAGCTTTATTTTTTTTTTTGCCATATGTCAACTGAAGTTTCCCTCAAAAAAAAGAAGTTTCCCTCACATTTACATTATTTAATTTTAGAGTTGTTTATATTTTTACTGTAGATGGCATGAGCTTTTAGAATGCGCTTTTTTTTTATTTAAATCAATTGTTTTACTCAGAAAAATCTTCCCTCCTTTGTTGCTCTAATGCTAATAATAAATTCTTAGTTCTCTAAAGAAATGCTACATATTTATAAATAAATACTATTTTTCTTGGATGAACTATTTCAAAATCATAAACAGTTCAAATTTTTCAAATCTAAATTTGCAGTGAATAAATATTTTGTGGCTGACATTATGGTTGAAATGTAGAGGTTCTTATTGGATCTTGAAAATATGAAATATTTCTCTCATTCTCCTTAGATATTAGTAAAATACAGTGTGGAACAAAAATCAATCCTTACCTTTCTGCCCCAAGCTGAAGAGAGAATTTGATTGATTCTTACCCAAAGGTTTCACCTACTTCTGTTGGATATTTCAAGATATTAAATTGAATCTGAAAAATATAAAATCTTAACAGTATTTTGTAGCTCATGTACGCTGTTCTTTCAGGAAGCATCATAATATCTATGATTTCTCCAAAGATTCCTTAATTGCAATTAAATCAGGATACAATGCCAGTGCTGCAAGATTGTTGGTTAATGTTAGTCCAGTACCATATTGCTGATACCATGTAAAATGCACCTTTCTAAATTGAAAGATGACTTTGCTAAACATTTGTTTAGAAAACAAATTTGATGTGAAATCTTCAAGGGAAACTATAAAGCATAGAAATGTGAGTTTGCACATGGCCAGTGAGTTTGAAGCCATTTTAGTAATTATCACACTTTTATTTGTGCCCAAGTCAACTACAAAACGGCATATACTTCAGCTAGAACCGTGGTGGCCTTTAATGAATGAATATCAAAAAAAATGTCACAAAACAGGTGGCTCTTCTTAAAGTGAAAGCAGCCTGTTCTCAAAGTCATTTTATCAGATATAAAATAATCATAAAATATTCCCATCCAGACTTATAATCACAGTGCTATGCAGGCATATACGAAATCCCCCCCATGACAGAGCTCCTCCTGCACAAATGAGACAGTAGATTCAAATCAAGGGTATTGACTAAGTCATTTGGATGGAAAAAATAAGAGGGGATTAAAGGAAAACAAGAGGAAAGAGTCAGAGTCGGGATTAAAGAAGCAAGGAGGAGGTAAAGAGAGACAGACTACAGACATGTGCTGAGAGGGTTCATCTTGATAGAGAAGGGAAAACTGGACGGAGTGAGCAAGAGAGGAAGGCAAATATAGACAGAGGGAGGTGGATGACATTTCTCCCACTGAGGCTGGGGAGGGAGGATGGCCACCATATAGCTCTGGTTCCTCTGTTTTCTGAATTGCAGGTTTCCAAAGATTAGTATTTTGCTCTCTGTCTTCTATTTTTCTTAGTTAGACCGATTCAAAGAACCACCTGCTTATGGACCCATGTGTGACATCCTGTGGTCAGACCCCCTGGAGGACTTTGGAAATGAGAAGACTCAGGAGCATTTCACTCACAACACAGTCAGGGGGTGTTCCTACTTCTACAGGTAAGGACCTCACACTGCTCAGCTGGATCATGTCTGCCTCACAGTGCTGGAATTTAGAAATGAATATATGAATAAAATGATGTGAATTATGTATACATGCATGTATACACATATACATATAATGTCTGTGAAGAATAGAAAAGGATAAGAGAGCAGGTGCTGGGAGAGGGGCTAGCTGCTGAAGAAGATGGTAAATGTACTCAGAAGTGGCTCTCCAACTTCTTTGAGGGACAAGTGGAGAAAACAGAAAAAGAAAAGGCTCTACTTCATTAACTGTGGGGAAGTCCACTACTGACCTTGCTGCTTCTCATTCGTTCATGCACTCATGTTTTACCAGTTTTCATAAGTTAAACCATAAACCAACTTTACTTTGGTTACTTAAATTACAGTCAAGTCATTTTTCCATGTTTTTAAATTTGTCAGACTTCCTAGGTAGATGAAAATCAGCAGCTATACAGTACTAAGGTAACCTACCAAATTTACTTTTAGCATCTTGACCACGTTGAAAATATTTTGATAGTAAGTTTTATATTTGCAAATGCATTTGCATTTCCAAACTTTTGCATTTCCAAACTTTTGAAGCCTGCCTGTGGAAAGGAATCCTCATTACAGCTGGGTGCCACAGGTCTGCTTTCCTGTCACACCACTTCAGCTTTAGCTACTGCATTTGTACTCACTGGGTTACTTGGTGAGTACAGTTGAGTAGCAGTATAAATGTTTCTAGAAGGAAATAGAAAAAAATATCATGTTTTAGAATTGGAAAGTCTCAATGTTTTCAGAGTCTATTTTTATACTTAAAAAGTAAAGATGATGTTTCCTGAAGATAATACACAATTCTAGGTAATGGTATAGCCCCAGAAGCTCTGTAAAACATCCACTCACACGTCTCCTATGTGTAGAGTAAGCTAATAGCATCCTTTGTATAACTTTGTCTATTCAATGGTGGAACATTTGTTTTATTCATTAAATTTTCTTATGGAATGCAGAATTAATTTTTGGATATAAAATCATTCGTACTGTAAACCCATCTTCCAAGAATGGCTTTTGTTTCACATATCAGTAGTGAAACTTATTGTGAGCTTATGTATCAGAAAGATCGCAAGATATCTTAGGTTTTGGGAGCCAGAGCACAAAGTCCACTAAGTATGTTTTTGGTAAAATAAAGAATCATTCTTCTATAATTCTGAAAAGCCAAATGTTTCTTTTTAGTTAATCAACTAGGAGTAATATCTTATGAAGATGTTCATCCTTATAGTGAAATATGTTTGACATAAATTAAGTTTTAATTTCTTCAAATCTAGTGTTAAATCCCCAAATATACTTGTGTTTATACTACCTTTTGTGCCTTATCAAAGTAAGACCAAACAAACTCCAAACGCTTCATTTTAGTGTTGAGTCACATTGTGTTCTTTCACAGTACGGCATTCTATCAGTTTAAAGTCAGTTGTTGAAGTAAATCCTATTCTGAACAGAATCCCATAGTAAATTTACATAATTTGTAATACTTTTGTCATGTGAAATATACACAAACAAATTTGTCAGAAATAATATCACCTAAATAATTCATCATATTTTCACACTTTTATTCTCAAGAAAATGAATTCATCCAGCAGGAGGTTCCTCATACATGTTGTTCTTCAGTCTTGACAAGTACAAGGTAGTGTGTAGCTCAGTGTCTGAATCCACAGCTCATAAGACTGGCTGGGGGTGGAAAATTCTGGATTATGATTTGTCAAAGGGAGCGCAGAACGTCCTGCTCTTTCAGAGCTTTTTGAGCCTTTTGTCTTTAGAACCATCTTGAAAAGGTTTGAGACGTTCTCTGGAGGTCATGTTTTAAAGCTGATCTAGATGGGCACGAGTGAGCATGAAATTGGTAATGAAATTTACTGCTCATTTCCAGTTGGAGTTGTTGGTCATTGTTTTCATCTAGTTTTATTTTCTCTGTCTCTGTGTAGTTTGCATATTTACTGCGATATGCAGTCTTATACTACCTGAGCTATGATTTTAGAACCCAAAGGCATACAGAAAAATGCATCTGAATGGGGCTGAAAAGATCACTCAGCAGTTAAGAGCATGTACCGCTCTTGCAGAGGGCCCTAGTTTGATTCCTGTCACCCAAAGTCGTGGCTCGCTACCACCTGTAACTCCGGCTCCAGAGGGATCCAATGCCTCTGACCTCTTTGGGTGCCCACATGCACATATACATGATTAAAAATAAAATAAAATCCAAAAAAATTTTAATGCATCATAACTTTTATTTATTTTGTATTGTTTGAATTGTGTTAGTTCTTTGACAGTTTCAGACATGAACATAGAATATTCTGGTTTCTTTTTCTCACTACCCTCTCTTGCTTCCCCCCTGCCCTTATCAAGCCCTCCCTTCCTCCCTTGACCCTTTCTCAGGTATATTACTTTAGCTTTTGTTGTGTGACCCATTTAATTTAATCAGGGTGATCTCTGTGACCCCTGGTTTGGGACAGAAGGAAAATGTTAATGCAATTCATGAGGTATATTAGATAATCAATGTGCTGAAAGCAAAAAAAAAAAAAAAAAAAAAAAATAAAGCTGTTTTTGCCCTAACACTACCACTTCATAATCTCAGACCAGAGTTTGCACACTGAAATGCCTGCACCATTCAGACAGGTAATAGAGATACTGGATGTGGGCCAGCAGAAGACTGGAGATTAGTGAGGATCATGACTTATAGGAGGTAAAATCTTTTTCATGTTAAACAAAGAAAACTGTTGGCAGGATTTGGAACTATCACTTTGTATCTCTGCCTCCAATGAATTGAGGACGCATTGTATTCTGGGTTTTCCAGCTTTGCAGGGTAAGCTACAGCATTCTAACATCAGTCAGAGCACCAGGCCAGGGAGCACTGGCAGTGGTGAGCAAGCCTGCCTGTGGTGCAAGCTACAGCTCACTTGAGTCACATGACAGCCGCTTCCAGCCCCTCACCCCTCTCCAGCCTCAACAGTGGCTCAGCCTCTAGCCCTTCTCCAGTTCTGAAAGCCGCTTTCTCCTTTCCCCTCTCTTACTCGCCTCTGACATCCAGACAGGGGCCCCTTCTGCTGATGCTTTCTCCTTTTTTGAGAATATCATATGTGAATATTGTCTTTCTTTGAATTATTTCCATCCCTTCCAGTCCCACACCAACTCCTCCCATGCCTCTCCACTCCCTCTCAATTTCTTACCGTCTTATTATTATTACATATCTATACATGCATATATATATATATATATATATGTTACAGAGAGAGAGACCATCTAGTATTGCTCCTGTGTACCTATGTTTAAGGCTGCCCATTTGGGATTAGATACCCTCTCCGGGAGCTAGTACCTAGAGAAACCTGTTTCTCCCTCCCTCGGCATCCATCAGCACCCACTGATTGCCTGTAGCTCCTCATCTTGAGCTGGCACCCTGTGAAATTTCCCCCATCTTCTTTGGCATGTCAACTGGCTTTGTCATTATGCAGATCTTGCTGGGCAGGCAGGCTCTAGAGATTGCACTGGTGCAGCTTCTCTGTCCTGTCTGCAATGCATTAACTAGCAGCAGGTGTCTTGTCCCTCTGGCTTTTACATTCTTTCCACCTCTTCTTCCATGATGTTTCCTGAGCCTTAGATAGATGTGCTGCTTAGGGCCGGACACCTCCCAGTCACTCTGTGTATTTGGCCAGTTGTTGCATTTTGTAGTAGTCTCTATCTGTTGGGAAAAGAAACTGCTTTGATGAGTGGTGAGAGGTACACTTGTCTGTAAATATAAGGAAATGTATTTAGAAAAAAGTGTGAAGTTATGTTGTTCTAAGGAAGTGACAGAAGTAGGTTATTCTTTAGGGTCTATGACCTCTCTATCTGTGTATACCTGCCTATATTTATAGTACCACACATGGTTTCCTCAGTGAGCAAGCGGGCTGCTGATTCTTTCTTTTTCCTGAATGTCCTCACCTCTACTCACAAATCAAATCTAGGTGTTTCATTGTCTGCTAAGCTGAACATTTATATCCAGGAGAAATGTGTGCCTTCAAATAGCAAAAGACATACATAAGGCTGTTTACACGAGCAGTATCATGATAGTCAAGAAATAGAGACACCCAAATAGATACTTGGCAGAATGAATAATAGACTCAACTATATCTAGATATAGACTCTCTCTCTGTCATATTCTCTCTCTGTCATATTCTCTCTCTCTTTCTCTCTCTTTCTCTCTCTCTCTATATATATGTGTGTGTTTGTGTTTGTGATATACTGATTATATCTGTATCTATATGTATGTATATATATATGTATATCAGTAACATATAACTTGAAGTCACAATATATAGATGTATATAATATACTGATTATATCTGTATCTATATGTGTGTATATGTCTATGTGTATACGATATATAATGCATATATATATACACAAACATATAAGTTACATAGAACTTGAAGTCACACACACACATACACAACACATACACAGCACTACTATAGTAAATGAGAATGAGCTAACCAAAACTGCATGCATAAACATGGATGAATGACACAAGTCTGGTGATGAGCAAAAGAAGCCAGGTAGTCAACAGTTGTATAGTATGAAATGAGCTCAGCTTATGAGAAAGCTAGTCTATAACATCAAAAGCCAAAAAAGGTAGGTAAGAGCTTGACAGTGGAGATGCTGTGTGGCGTTTCTGGGCATCAGCTAATATTTTGTTCTCTAAACACTAGTTACATGGCTGTTCTCCGTGTGAAAGGTTGTCATGTATCATCTTCTGATTTGTGTCCTTTTTGTATGAATGTTTAACTTCAATAAAATGTTTGCATTAGGGTTAGGAATATAGCTCAGTGGCAGAGCATATGCCACTCTACAATATAGCACTACAATATAAATATAGGACCTAGCATATGCAAAGACCCAGCTCTACAATATAGCACTACAATATAAAATAAAGTTTGTTCAGTAGTCACCACTGGCCACTAGTGACACAGCCAGGAGCCGAGTGCAGGTGTGGACTGCAGCTCTGAGGAAGGTCTGGCAGGAAGAGTGGAAGTCTTAGAGGCTAAAATCAAATTCCTTAGAACCCTGGGGCAAGGAAACGCAGCAAGTCCTAGGAAAAGGTAGGCCTGAAAGGAAGCCTTGGGACACCCCAGGACTGGTACCCATTATCAGGCCCAAAAAGCAAAGGAGAGTCGAGGATGTGGGCAGGGTTCACTCTGCTACCAGGGCTGGACAAAGGTAAGGACACCTGGTGCATGAGGCTTCCTGTCCACACCTTGGCTGGGCGCACCTGTTCTCACTGGGTAAACCAGCCAGGAGGACAGGAGCCTTCTATACCTCCCCCACACTTGACTGCCCCTTTTTGAGGCTCCTGCAGTGACTGTGCTTGAGCTCCAGGAAGGTGACAGCTTGTTGCTAAGCGCTCAGGAGAGTGAGAAGAGAAAACAACATTCCTTCTTATGAAATTCACTATTGCTGAAGGACAGATCTGTAAGCATCCTTTACATCACAATATGATAAGTGAGATACCAGAAAGGTATAGTATGTGAATGCAGCAATTCTGAACACAATTCATACACAAATGTGGGATGAGAGGAACTTGACAGGAAGGTTTTAGAAAAGAAAAAAAATGCAGGGAAGATATTTGCAAGGGCTTTATGCATACAAAAACATTTTAGTGATGCCTGGGGATAAAATCATTTAATTCCAAGTCTAAAATTGAGTTTGATATGCTACATAAACACCCATGAACAAGCAGATGGCAACCTAGCTTTTCTGCCATTTCTTGTGTTTTTGTCTTTTCTACCTTCTTTGCCTTTGTCACAGTCTGCAGCCCCTCCCCTTACTCTGCATGGACTTCTAACCCTCTCCTGTCTGCTGATCCAAGTCCATCGCTATCTTGAAGATCTTGTACAAGGTATAATTAATGACGCACAGACCTAGGAGGTCTTCTTGCTTCCTTACTTTATAATGTCTATATAAAACTTGGAATAAATCTTTATTATATACATATTTTTTAAATTTTATTTATTATTTTTATTTTATGTGTATGCATGTATTGCCTGTGTGTATGTAAGTGCAACCGTGTTGTGCAGTGCCCACAGAGGACAGAAGAGGCTGTCGGATCCCCTGGGACTGGAGTTCGGACAGTTATTAGCTGCCATGTGGGTGCTGGGATTCAAACCCGGGTCTTCTGCAAGAACAGTGTTCTTAACTGCTGAGCCATCTCTCCAGCCCCAAATCTTTATTATATTTTATTCTCCGTAGATTTTTAAAACATTTTTGTCCTGTTCAATGTTCCTACCTAGATTATAAATGCATCAGAACAAAGGAAATGTATTGCCTTTATCATCCCACCCTCACTCAGCCTGCACTGCCTTTTAGCAAATGCAACAACAGTTGGCTGATCTCTGATGAATTCCTGCTTTTCTCGCTCTCTTGTGGAGTTCATGCAGTCACAAGTCCTGTTTTCCCTTCTACGATGTGTATCTAGAATGTTTTTCAGTTTGAACATTTTCTGCTTTGTGATCATTTCCATTAAACATACACAGAGAGAGAGAGAGAGAGAGAGAGAGAGAGAGAGAGAGAGAGAGAGAGAGGGTGGGGGGGGAGAATGTGGCTCATTGAGTAAGAGGGTGTACTTCTCAAGAATGAGGATCTGAGTTCAGATCTCCAACACTTACGAGAAAATCTGGAAGTGGACAGGTGCACCTTTAACCCCAGCACTATGGGAACAGACAAAAGGATAGCTAGGACTTTCTGGCCTCCAGTCTGATCAAAGTGGCAAGCTCCGGTTTTCACGAGAGATGCAATCTCAAGAGAATAAAGCAGAGAGTGATAGGGCAGGAGCACTTGACGTCTTCTGGCTGCTGCATGCACCTACACATACACCACACATGCATGTGCGCCCCCCCCCAAAGAAACCAAAAGGTTGGAGAATGTTTTACTCTTACCCAATGTTATTTAAAACTTTAAGTAATCTAGGTAGTTAGTTCACCAATAACGACTAAATCAAGGTGATAGTATTTTCCAAATTTGTTTAAGAAAATATTTCTAATTCTTTAAAAGCTAGGAGATCTAACCTATATGTTTGAAGATTGCCGGTTTTTTTCTTCAAAAATGGGCTTTTCTCCGTGTAAATAATAGATTTTTCTTCATGTAATGCTATAACCTAGCAAATTGCTGTTTGGCTGATTTTGTTTCACTTCGTTTTCAGATTTCCATCAGAAATCAGATGCATAGTTCTGTGGGGGAAAACTTAGCCTGCATTCATAATGGTATCAAACTGAGCATGAATAAAATATTTTTAAATTATATTTTCGTAAGAGTGGTGTGAGTTGTTCCAAAATGAGGTTGGTGAAATAAACAGCAAAACGCAGCCATTTACCAGAGGACAAAAAATGTCAGATACAGACAAGCCAACCTCTGAATCTATTAGCAAGACATTAAGTTGTTTTTTTTAAAGAGGTGAAGGGACAAGAAACATAAATGAAGTGCTACAAAGACAGAGAGGAACATTTCTTGGGAGCCTACTCAGTGCCACCCAAAGACCAACTTCTCTGAAACAGAGCTTTTTCTAATGCTGATCCACAGAGCACAGACTTTTGAAGATACAATTGAACTGGCCCTTGGTACAGTATGCACATACTCCCCTTCAAGGGCTCTAGGCCACTGCATACAGTGGGCAAGTTACATCTGGGTGACTTACTGACCAGCATGACACAGAACAGCAGTGCAGTGGCGCCATCAGAGATGTCTCCTCTTGCTTATATAGTATATAGTGTGCATATGTACGTGCAAAAGGACAGAAGCTTCTTTCAATCTGTGATCCCATTTGTGCCAAAGAACCAAATCTTACAATCTGTATTAGTTACTTTCTTTATTGTTGTGACAGAATACCTCACAGAAAGAACTTAAGGAAGGAGCCTGCATTCTGTCATGGTGATGAAGGAGCAAGAGCAGCTGCTCTCATGCCATCTACAGTCAGGAAGCTGAGAGAAATGAATACATGTAGTCTGCTAGCTTTCTCCTTTCTATTCAGTCCGGGACCCCAGCCCAGGGATTGATGCTACCTGCAGTTAGGATGGCTCTTCCCACCTCAATTAACCTAATCCACAAACTCCCTCTCAAACATGCCTAGAGGTTTGTCTCCTGGGCATTTCTAGACCCTGTCAGGATGGCAGTTCATACTAATGATCACATAATCAGTGTTTTTACCCATTTACTGTCTTACAGGTATGTTTTCCTGTTGATGGGAGAATTCATGTAGATGTGTAGTGTAGCATGTTTGTCTTCTCTTGTATGATAAATTATTTTAGACCCTTATAATACTAAAATATTTGTCCAAAGTGGTTTTTTAATTGATGAATATATCCAATACTGTATGATTGTGTGTGATTATGTGTGTGTGAAAGAGAGAGAAGGGGGAGGAATAATTTCAGTTCTAGTGAATATTTGCAGGGTTTTTTTAAAGTATCAATTTTTTGCCCCTTAATTTCATTTGTCTAAATTTATTGATTTTGTACTTATATCAGGAAATTATTAAAGATGTGGAAATTATATTTTTCAAGTTTTAATTTGCAATTTTAATTTCAATTCTAATGTTTTTTGAGTTTGAGACTCTGTGTGTGTGTGTGTGTGTGTGTGTGTGTGTGTGTGTAGACATGTACACCATGGAGCATGTGTAGAGTTCAGCCAACAACTTTCAGGAGTCAGTTCTCTCCTTCTACCACAAGGTGCCTTATATGTCTAAGGGCGCAACCCGTCCCCAGAGCCAAGGGACTTTTTTCCTGAGGATTGTGCTGGATCAAACCAGCATCTGGCCTTCCATGTAATTTGTGGTGACTCCTGGTGACTTCCTAACCACTACTTTTCTTTCTTTCTGTCTCTGGCAGTTACCCGGCTGTATGTGAATTCTTGCAGCACAATAACTTGTTATCTATACTCCGAGCCCATGAAGCCCAAGATGCAGGGTAAGCTTGTTGAGGGTGTATGATACCATGGTTTCCCTTTGTCAGGTCATTACTGGCCCAGGCTGCACAGTCTCAGACTCTTTTTTGCCCAGGCTTGTTTCCAGAAGGAATTAGTCTTAAAATGGGCTTCTGAAGAGGTAACCCTAAAATCTTTTAACGATTAGATACAAGCTCCCAAATACTTTTGACATTTTTGACCTTTGGAACAAAGTATGTTGCTAAGAGGCCCAAGGACATTTTGACTTTAAGCCAAGAAACTGTCTACTTTTCTTTGGGGTCTTTTTTACCCTAACTGCCAAGCCAGTTCCTACCTCCTATTCTTATCACACCTCTTCAGAGGGGGGAATGTTACAGTAGCCAAAAGCCCCATAAAAATAAGCGTGTTGGAGGGGAGGGAGTGGGCATGGATTTGATCAAAATATATTATATGCATATATGAAATTCTCAATAATTTTTTTAAAGTTAAAAAAATCAGAAAGTGTACATGTAAATGATTTCACAGTGCAATTCAAGATTCTGGAATTAAAGTTCACTCAGACAAAATACCTTTAGAATCAGATCATAGATTATATAAAGTTCAGGATTTTTAAAACAAAATAAAACACTGAACAGATTTAATAAAGGGCTTCTGACAACACAGGTTCCAGGAAGTGAGTGACCATGGATGTCTGGTAAAGTTCCCTTAAGTTCTTCCATAATTAGCTTGAGGGAGTATAAATTTTCTAGTTTGCTTTCTTTAAACATTTTTTATTATTTTTATTTTATATGTATGAGTGCTTTGCCTGCATGTATGTTAAGTGTACCCCATGTCATACAATGCTCACGGAGGTCAGAAGAAAATGTAGATCCCCTGAAACTGGAGTTACGAATGGTTGTTAGTCGCCATGTGGGTGCTGGGAGTAGAACCTGGGTCCTCTGCCAGAGCAGCCAGTGCTCTTAACCACTGAGTCATCTCTCCAGATCCCTAGTTTGCTTTCTTGGGAATTTTTCTTATAAGCACTCTCCTTATTTCATTCAGTTCTTGAAATTACTGTAGTGCCCAGAGGTAAATCACCAGCTGCCTTTCCATGTTGATTCCCCCTGTGAATGAGAGTCTCACAGACATTTCAAGTTGTGTTCTTGTTTTGAAGAAATCCTCATCTCCGTGGAGTTTTGTTGTTGTTTGTTGTTCTGGGGGCTTTTTCAGACGGTCTCATTATATAACTAACCCTGACTGGCCTGGAACTCGCTTTGTAGACCAGGCTGACCTCAAACTCTTATAGATCTGCCTGCCTCTGCCTCCTGAGTGCTGGGACTAAAGGAATGCCACCACACCCAGCCCCTGCAGAGTTTAAAAGGCTTTAAAAAAAAATAGGACATTTGTTAAACAAAGAAAAAAAATCTTGCATTCTAGCTACCTCATAATTCCATATTCATTTTTTATTTAGTGAATTTTTAAAACATAGACAATTTTAAGAGTTTAGAAAACTAAGAACATGTCAAGTATTTACCTTAATGGTACTGAATCTGCCTGAGAGAGAGAGAGAGAGAGGGGGGAACAGGATTTATCTTGGGAGTTGAGGTCTTGACCCCCTTTCCCTTTAGGCTCTCTGGAAGGCTTTGTTTGACTGTGAAGGACTAAACTCACCCCATTACATTTTGGATTTTCTAAAAAACAGTCCTTTTTAAAACCTGTGTGATGAAATAGAGAATATAGATATTTGCATTCCTGAGCTAGCATGTCCCTGAAACATGACAGAACCTGAAGTTTTTCAATGAGTTAGCAGGCATGAACTGAGCCGGCTTTATGTATCTGTGTGGTGCCTGATCTTTGTAAGCTGTTCATGTGCATCACCCTCACGTCCTCAAGTGATGGCTTTCATTTTGGGGGGTGGCAGTGTCCCCGTGTTATTTTGGGTGTCTATTCAAGCAGTCTAAACCTTTAAAATGAATTTTTCTTAATGATGTTATATACCTGAGATTGCTTGCCTGCTTGGAAATGGTTGACTTTGTCAGTCAATATCAATTAACATCAAATATTTTGTCTAATATAAGCAGTAGATTGATTCTTTGGGGAAACTGAGAATGCATATCATCCAGTTTTGTTATTACATTTTTGGTTTTTGTGAAGTAGGTATAGCCGACTTCACTGTATAAAGTCAAAGTGCTAGGTAAGAGTATTACTACTGTCTTGGCCCTTGAATATTCTTTACCCAAGGAGCCCATGGTTTGCTTGCACCACAGTTGACTTGTATTGTCACTTTGCTTTTGAGTAAAGTTTCTCTGTTGCTTTGAAAAAAAGTATTAAAATGTTGTAGCTATCCACATAAAGGTACTATTTGAGCAACTTTTAGAACTCAGCTATATTAAAATATCAGAAAAAAATGACAAAAAATAATCAAAGAAATGATACAATTTTTGTTGAATAAGCATGCTTCTAACCTGATATCCCTAAATTTCTGTCATAGAAGTCATGAGATACATTCTCATCGTGGTGGGAAAGAGCCAGGCCACCTGTTCTTTTGATTGAGGACTTTTGATTGAGAATTATGTTATGAATTATTTTTGTCTTAATAAAAGAAAAGTAACAAGTGTTGGTTTCTTTCCAAAGTTCTTGTGGATATTCTGTTCATTTGTGATTGATTAAATCTTACCCTGCTGACACAGTAATCTTTGACATGCAGACACCAGCAGCGTTTGTTAATAAATAAAATTCTAAAATAGAAAGTCTCAATTATTAAACTCATAGATTTAATGAGACAGTCTTTGAAAAAGAAGTAACTTGGTCTTAGAAAATCGTTTAGGTTCATTCATATGTAACTTTTATTGTCAAACAGATTTATATAATGATTAGACTTGGTTTTAGTGGTCTCTGTGATTGGCAACTTGATTGGCAGCAGTACCATGGAATACCTGCTCCGAATCACATGCTTCAGTCCTTTGTATAGAGCACATAAAAATGAAGTACAGCCAGGCGTGGTGGCGCACGCCTTTAATCCCAGCACTCCGGAGGCAGAGGCAGGCGGATCTCTGTGAATTCAAGGCCAGCCTGGTCCACTTAGTGAGTTCCAGGACAGCTGGGGCTACAGGGAGACCCTGTCTTAAAAAGACGGAAAAAAAAAAAAGCACAATTCTACTTCCCCTGAGGTTTACTAAGTTTAAAAGATACCTGTTTGAAAAGCATACATGTCATTGTAGATTCATGTTGTCACTCCTCAAATGGATTGATGCCTGTGTTTAAAAGACTCTGAGAGAGAAATTTTATTTAGCATGTATAATTGGATTCTCTTTGAAAGATAGAAGTTGACTAATTTCCTGTTTCCAAATCTATAATTTGATGTCACCTTTTTATCTGTGCTCATCTTGTTTTAACTTGTATTTGTTGTTTCTAGGTACCGCATGTACAGGAAAAGCCAAACAACAGGCTTCCCCTCTCTAATTACAATTTTCTCAGCACCAAATTACTTAGATGTGTACAATAACAAAGGTGAGAGTTTGCAAATCCTTCTTGAAGTCTTAAGTAGTGTGTACATTTGTGTTTAAACTGTCTGATTTTGACTTTACTGTCTTAACATTTTCAAAGCACTCTTTTTTTATTCCCTTATGTATTTAGAGAAGGAGGTTCCGTTGGTGAGAGGTGGGTCCATGCACTGGTACTTTTTAGGTATTTTCCAGGTATTTCTAATACATAGTAAAGATGCTAGCTGCTCTCTAGCAGATATAGACATTTAAAAACATCATAATTGGAGGTCATCCAAAATTATGCTCCTGAAAATGGATGTAGATTTACCTGTGAACCATGTGGTTATGCATGTAAATGACTGACAAAGAAGCATATAGAAAAAAAAAAGGAGTCACAGCTTGAAATTCAGATTTTATTTATTGAACACCTTCCATGAGTCACTTTCCATGCTGTGAAAGTGTGTGTTCAGTTCTTTAAATAATAATTAAGCTTTAAGGGAAGTCTTATCTGCTTCTCCTCCTCTTTAATGCGCAGTCAATTGCCTTGCACAAGACCGCTCAATCAGTAAGTAATGAATTGGGATGGAACCCACAGTTCTAATTCAGTGTCCTTAGCTTGCTTCTTGAAATCTCATACCTGAATTTCTGAAACAAACAAGGACACAAAAGGATGTTATATGCTGAGTACAGGAAAAGAGAGATTAAGGGGTCCGTATGCCCCTTCTTCTGTACCTTCTTCATGAAGTAGTCTCTTGATTTAGAAATGATGTAGAGTTCTCTGTGTGTCAGAGCAGGTGCTAAAGTCTAGTTGCCAATGGCCTGGATACTGTGTAGGTAACATGTCTGAGTATGATTTCAGAGATTAAGAAAAATGGAGACAGGAAAGGAGAAATCAATCAAATAATTTATGAGATGAAACAGGGAAGGCAGGAAAAGGCAGCCTGAGTTCTGAGCAAGTTTGGGAAGTGGATTGAGAGCAGGTCCTGTGATTGAGTAGATAGGACTGTCTGTTACAGATAAAGTCCAAGCTGGGCCCTGACCGCCCCCAACAAGCCAGACTAGGCCTGTCCTTAAGACAGTTAAATAACTCAAAGTGTAAAACAGAAAAAAGAGGTTTATTCAGTGTGCCCATATTGGGAGCAGGGACAAGAAATCTGGTGACCCCACCCCTCCAAGTGCATCTTAGCGGTCCTGACATGAGGTTTAAGTTTAAAAAGAGGGCAAGAAATATGCATAACTAAGCAGTCGTGGTCAAAGTTGGTCCGGTTCTTCATCGCTGCCTGGTACTTGTCTCTTCTGCAATACTGTGTGGTAAGTTGCCAGCACTGTGTGAAAACACTTTCTAGGAGACAAATTCTCTTGTGTCTGGTACCAGGCTTCAGCCTTTTCCTTCCCAGCCTGAGATTCTTGGGGAAATTTTCTTATTGGGGTCCATTGTTTCAAAAGTGTCATAGGCAAAGAGAGGGACCTGTCTCTTCGAGATATTTCCGTTCCTGTCAGGACAGTTACACCCCTGCCTGGTAATGGCCTTGACCTGAGTTACTCCGCTACTTAATAGCTTGCTGCCCTTGTTGACTTCATGTGCTCTACTTTCCCTGTGTAGTTCTTTCTCTGTCATGTTGCTCAGAGCTAGAACCTACCCCCTTTCCTTCTAATACTACTGAGGATCCTGCTCCAAAAGACAAGCTGGGTGGATCACCCTGTTGCCACATGCATCCCCTTTATCACCTCACCTCTGCCTGTGCATTCTGCTCTACCTGCAGTGCCAGCATTCCACTCTCAGATGCACCTCCAAGCCCAGAGTGTGATGGATGCTAGGTGGGGTGTGCTGTTACCACATAATCTTTTCTAAGGCTGCACTGACTATGACAGGCCTTCCTCTGAAGTTAAAAAGTATAGGTATCCATAGACACAATATAGCCATAGCACAACCTGTTCCCAGCAAAGGTATGCTGCCCTTACCTAAGCAAGAAGCATGCCAAGTACTGTAAGGATTGTTCTCTGATGCCACATGCTTCTGAGGCTGTCCATAAAGCAGGATACGGGGGATTCACTAACTGTGTAAGTCATGATGTGATATGGATCCATATGAAATGCATTTGACAAGAAATAACTTTCCAGAATGATCAAGAGAAGGCCTTGTTTAAAAATTGGATCTAAATATTAAAGAGTGATTAGTGTTTGATAGGAAAGTTTGTTAAAAATAGTCAAGGACAGTGGATTTTTTTTTAAGCAGCAAACCTATTTTTACTCAAACTAATCAAAGTAATTCTTTTGATTATATCCAGATCAAAGTTTTCAACCTTATTTTGGAGTGGACATTGACCACAGCATGTCCCACCACGATCCTATAATCTACCATATGTGTATTAACATAAACATGGCTCTTACTGCTTTAGGGCAGTTAAAACCTTTCTCTATTTTGCATGTGATCCAAGCACTTGAGAAGTAGAGGCAGGAGAACCAGGAGTTCAAGGTGATCCTCAGCTAATAAGTTCTAGGCCAGCCTAAACTGCTTGGGATCCTGTTTCAGCAAAACAAACAAAAGGCCCTGAGGAAAGGAATGTCTCCCCAAAATGCTTTCTGGTCACAAGTTGGTGAATAGCACAGACTATTAGGAGTTTTGAGACAGTTAAAACCTAACACATTAAAAATGAAGGCAGTTGGGATTTCATCCCACAGAATGTCCTTAGACACTCCACAGTCTTCATAATCCTAGGTAACACTGTATTTCTTGAGGCCAATTTTTTAGACACAGTGTATTTTTCTTCTTTGTTTATGGTTCTGACATGACAAGTCAGGGTCTTCAAAACAGAAGTCAGTGCTTCACTTCTTTGAGGTTTGTAGTTCTTCAACTCCGCTCTCTCGCTGTGGGTAGATCACAGTTCTTCTGGAAGGAGATAGAACTGTTTTCATTTTGGGAACCTTTTCATAAAGCAGAAATTCTTTCGAGAGAAAAAAACAGACAGATAGGAAGAAGAAAGATGCATTCTTCAGTTGGAACATAGTTTCAAAAGTCTTTTGTGTAAAATTTCTGAAGCACTTTAAAGCTATTATGCTAACAGTGTGTACAGTGTATGGGGGTGGGAATCAATTATTCACTGTTAAAGTGAAGATTGCTCTATTTGAATAAAATCAATGTTAACTAGAATTTTTAAAAGCAGGGTAATAAAATTGAGTTGCAAGACTTTTCACCACTTCATCAATGGAAAAATAACAGTGAGGATTCTGTGAGTTAACTGTTAGAAGCGATGACCATAGCGATTCTCAGGTTAGAGCAAGAGTCACACTGTAGTTTATAATCCTGCAAATCAAGACAGGAGTAACCTTCTGTGGCCAAGGAAAAGGAGAAAATAGTTTATTATGGGACTTTAAAGCCAGTGATAGTTTGGGTCACAGTATTTCTCACGAGCCGTTTGTTCTTGCCTGTGGTTGGTAAGCAACATTTGGAAAGGTTTCTGGGCTGAGCTTCTTGTCCCTTGGTGTAGTCTTCATAAACGCAGTCAGTTCTCGTCTTTTCATGTCCAGTGTGACAGTCATTTTCTTGCCCACCCCCTGCTTCTGTTGTTCCCTCACCTGGCAGCTCTTACAAGATGTCAGGGAAAGCGGTGTACGTTTAGATCACAGGTCCTCCATTAAACAAGCTCATCTGAATGTATTGGATATACAATAATGTCTCCATCAAATGAAGAAAAGGCATTCTTTTGTAAATAATGCTTTGAAATAACATGCTGTGCAATGTGACGATTCATCATCATTTTTTCTGTTATTTTCATGCTACATGTTAGCACAGGGCTTCTCAGAAGATGAGAGAATAGTGGTTTCCTTTAGCGCTTTACGATTTCACATCTTATTCCTTAGCCTAGCATTGCAGCCCATCTCCCTGATTCACTTGTAGCCCTTTACTGAAGCCAACTTCTTCTACTTACTGCCTTGAACAGCTTTTAGCTTTACATCTCTCCGCACTGTGCCAACATACCTCCTCCCATCTAAAATACTTTGCTTACTGTCCATCTAAACAGACTAGCTCTGCCTGTAGTTACACAGTCTGTGTCCATGAAGATTTCTTTGGCTGAATGTGTGTAATGCCAGTCATATGCTCTTATAGATAGCATTTACTCATCTTTTCTAATTTGTTATACATATTTTACATCCAAGTTTTATGCCTTTGTTTTAGTTGCTTTTTCTGGTGCAGAGTTAAAATACCATGACAAGAACCTTAAAGGAGAAAGGGTTTATTTTGGCTCACAGTTCAACATTATAGTGCAACATGGCAAAGAAGACACAGCAGCCAGAGCTTGAGGAGGCACTAACCCTGCATCCACAGTCAGGAGGCAGGGTGTGATGAGTGCTTGTGATCAGCTTATTGTCTCCCTTTTATGCAATCCAGGATCCCAGCCCAGGAAATGGTGTCACCCACAGTGGACAAGTTTTTCCATCTCAATTTACCTGATCAAGATAATCACCCACAGGTGTGGCCAAAGTCCCATTCTCTGATTCCACATCTTACCAAACTCACAGTTGAGATTATGACCACCTTGTACATAGTAAGCAGTCAATACTTGGTTTAACTGAAGCTTTTTCTTCAAACAGATTGATTGTAAGACATTGTACCCTATCAGTATGGTAGCAGAGATTATTAGCTCACTTGGAATTCCTACTATAACCGGTTCTGATACTCTTTCCAAATTGGTGTTAAAGATTTGCAGAGCATTTTGCACATATTTAATTGTTTTTATGTGACTGTGGAAAGAAAAAAAGTTATTTCCTATTTACCTAAATACACCCAACAAAAGAAAACTGCGGTAATGACAGCCTTATTTTTGTCATATTTTGCCACCTGTGAAAGTGACTTCAACTGTTTACAATGACCAATACTGACCAAGCTCTCATCAAAAACATATTGTATGCAAAGCACCGTGGTAGCACTGGGGGCTATGTATCAAACAAGGCACACATAGATTTTGCCCTAATGTGCCTTATACTCCATTACCAGGATAGACAAGAATTAAATACACCAATAAA